GTGGGGTTCCGAAAAAACATTATGGTCGTGAAGCTAAGAACATCTAAACCCTACAAGAGGATGAAAAGTCCCCATCATCCTGTTTATTCTTAGCTGACTGCAGCGCTTTGGAGCAGAACCGCTGAAGTCAGGTTATGGGCTCGACACACGGGAGACGACATCGCCTCTCCATTCATTTTCAATGAGACATGTGCGACAAAGCGATAATCGCGGGTCTCCCTCCTACCAAGCGAAACGCGAAAAACGTGCGTGTGAAATTTTGCGTTCGTGTACGTGTCGTGCACAGGCGACCCAGCGACGCGATCCCAGAAAGTTGAAACATTTTCAACTTTTCATCGCTGTCGCTCGGACGAGGACCAATCAGCGGAGGTTTCATTCACTGACCAATGAGCGAACAGGATGCTCCGTACACCTCCGAGCAAACATGAAGGAGAAGTTGATAATTATTATGTTTTTATAGTAAAATCAGAAGTAAGATTTCACATAACTCTAGCAGCACCTTGTGAAACATCATATCTACCACTTTATTAACTCTGAACCACTTAAATAACCTTAATTCCCTCCAACCTGACACAGCCAAACAAAACAACGGAAGTTTCGATTTTGCCATGGAACAGAACGCGTAGACGGCAAATCCGCCGGCCGCTACCGCGTATCGCCTCCCGTGTGTCAGGTAATAAAAGCGACAGCGACGAATTTCGCTGATCGCGGTCGTTTGTCGCCTCCCGTGTGTCGAGCCCATTAGTCTGCTCGGCTAAACACCGCTGCAGGATTATGGCAAGCCACTGTTTCATGTAATTCACAAACGCGTCTATCTGTGAGCATAATTTTAATTGTATTATTGCCAAACCGTACATAATAAATCTGTCGTTAATTTATTAGCGGTAGAAATTAAATGTTATTAGCATTTCCAGTAGCTTACTACTGAACGTGTTAATAAAATATGTAGTGCTCACCACTTTGTAGTGTGATTAATGATCAAGCCATTCTTTTTCAGATTAAAATAGCTATTTCTGTGTTTTGTTTTCAATATTTTACTAAAAACGGGAGTTGTGTCACCTTAATTTTCTTCCTCCGGAAACTTCCGGGAGGGAAGCTTTTTACAGTAACACCGACTCCGGCATAAACATCCAGCAGTTCGTGACACAGCGTTTCCACAGCGATTAATCCACAGGTCTGCGGGACTGTTTAAAGACATCCTGATTGCTAAAGTAAGTGTGTTGTTTGCTTGTGTGTGCTTGTGTGTTGAACGTTTATTCACCATCTTGACACGTAGTGTCTCCTGAGAGAGAATCCATTCTCTCGCTTCACGCTAGCAAAGCTAGTAGCTACTCAGCCTTACCACGGCAAGAATAGCACCCCGTTTTCCGAAATATAGCTTAAAAGTACTTATCTTAAGCTCTCGGGAACACCAGACGTAGTCTGATAGAGTGGTTGTGTACAAAACTCGTCACTACTGCTCCTATGCGCGCCTCTGCTTAGTTTAAAATGAACAAAAGACGTTACGTTTAGGCAAGATAGCAGAAAGAAGCTTTCGTGTCTGAACACCACGAAAAAACAGCTTATCCGGCTTAAGTCAACATCAGCCAGTGCACGGCACGCGTCGCCACTGAAGAGGAATTACCATATTGATGGGGAATGATGATGGGCACCTCTAGCACCAAATGTTTCCGTTTAATCCGATTAATCGAGTCGAGACCCCGTCCAATTCATCGATGATCCAAATAATTGTTTGTGTCAGCCCTAGTCAGAACCCCTCAGTCTGCTTCTTTTCTCCATCCTTGCAGCAGCTGTCTCGTCTTTGGATCCTGCCGGATGAACATTACTCAGCCCTTTACATTGACGGGGCTGACACACCTATGTCTCATCCTGATGATGACGTTTGACAAGAAACTTTTTTGATATTTCCTGTATTATGATGTGTTAATTCTACCTTCTACAGTAGAGTTAATCGTTAATATTTCTCATCACATGCTTCATCCACCTCATCCTAGTTTTCACTCTGCAAGTTTATCCATTCTGGGTCTGACTCTCACCATAAAGTAGAAGATATTAAATGTGTTGAATATTAATGATGTGCTGCCTGTTTTTTTACCATTTCAGAGTTGAAAATAATTTTGTGTTGTGTAGTTTCCTTACTATAATCACATTTGTAGCTTTAGTTAAATCAGGGTCAACAGCTTTGCAAAAAGTTACTTCCACTTTAATGTACCGACACCACCATGCAGTGTTCATCTGGATGATCAAATTCAGTAATCATTAGTTCATTGATTCTTTCTGTACCTAAATTAATAGGTGGTTATTCTTTGGTGTCCTGATAGCAGGGGTTAACATGTTTTTATTAATTTCTCATCTTCTTTTGTTGGTTGATAGTGAATTTAAATGGAAATTTTTATATCATACATGTGACTTGAGATTTGTGCAGTCTACTTCTCCACAGTCCAGAAAGATACACTTTTACTCTCACTTTGTTTATACAGCTGAACCCCTCCTTTTTTAATCGTGTCCTGTGCGGCTGTGAAGCAATCAGAGTTGATGTCTGATTGCTGAAGACAAGCCTTGCAGTTTAAACTCTCACAGGTATGGCGTCATAGCTTCTGCTATTTTCAGTTGTTTAAAATCCCGACTGACACAGAGTCAGAACGGAGTGTACACAGAGTTTTTTTTTTATTGATGTTTATTTGACATGGACACAGCAATTACATTGGACGAACCAGATGCATTGTTTAGTGTGTTAGCACACGTGCTAATTTGCAACACTTGTCCATAGAACCTTTCTAAAAAGTAGACTACATTTAAATAAAATACAAAGAGATCAACAATAAATCAAAGAGAAAACAGATTAAAATTGCAAACAATTTTCAATAAAAAAGAATAAAAAGAATAAAACAAGGCAAATTGAGCAGCAATGCAAGACTTTAAAACTATTCATGTAGACATTGTTGTTTAGACTTTAACCATTTTTTGAGTTCTTTGTTAAAAACGTTACTGTCCGTTTCTAGTTTTAGGTCAGTAGGTAGAGAGTTCCACAGTTTGGCCCCCTTTACAGAAAGAGCAGACTGACCAAAAGAAGTCTTGCACCGCGGGACGAGACAATCGCCGCAGGTGGAGGCTCGAGTGATCGTTCTATGAGAGCTCCGACGTCTGATGGCCACAGTAGAGAACAGTTTAGACAATTTATCATTTAGACAATTGAAAAAGAATCTTAGAGTGCTAAAATTAATAAAATTTTCAAAAGTGAGAAGATTATGTTTCCTTAAAATGCGACAGTGATGCCATTTCAATGGTTTCTGGTCCACAATTTTTATTGCTTGCTTGTATATTAAGACTATAGGTTTTAGAGTGGTGGATGAAGCCTGTGACCATGATGTAATGCAGTATGATAAGTGGGGAAAGATCAGTGCATGCATGTACAGTTTAGCAGTTTGGTGTGACAGGTTCCTTCTGATAAAACGGAAGCAGTTTAAATTTGTTTTAACCTTATTACAGACGTGCTTAACCTGACTGTCAAATTTTAGGTGTTTGTCTAGGATGATCCCAAGGAACTTCACATCACTCCTTTCTTCAATGATTTCCTCTTTAATCCTAACCTGAAATAGTTCCTTATCAGGCCTGTTTCTCATGGAGAAGCATATGGACACAGTTTTTTTTAACATTAAGAGTTAGGTGGGATGACTCTAGCCATTCTGAGATGTCTGATAAAGCCTGCGTCAGGCGCTCTCCTGCCAGGCCAGGTGTTTTTGTGGACACATAAATGACGGTGTCATCAGCATACATCTGGCAGTTGACGCCTGAGCAGCTCATCGGAAGGTCATTAATGTACATTGTAAACAGCAATGGACCAAGCACGGACCATTTTGTTTGCAAGCAAACTTGACTTGACCTCATTAACCCTAACACACTGCTGTCTACCCTCCAGGTATGAACTGAACCATTTCAAAGAGTGTAGAAGAAAGGGGGAGAGAGAGAGAGGGGGGGGGGGGGGGTCGTCACAAAAATAAACAATAAATAACGAACAAGAATCTGCTTCTAGACCTGCAGAAAAAGGGGGACTCACAAAAATACAAGACCAAAATATCACTGCACCAACAACATGAGGATATAGAAAAGTAGCTATTTTTGCTGACAAACACACGGTAATAATTCATAGTGCATTTAGTGCCAACCACAGCCACCACACAGGTGATGTGTTGAAAAGTCCATCCATGTGACAGCGCCATGTGAGCACTTGTGTGTGTGTACACACGCTTGTACACTCACCTAAAGGATTCTTAGGAACACCACACTACCACGGTGTTAGACCCCCTTTCACCTTCAGAACTGTGATCCACACTGTGGATCCATGTTCTCATTCTGTTTACGCCAAATTCTGACTCTACCATTTGAATGTCTCAACAGAAATCGAGACTCATGAGACCAGGCAACATTTTTCCAGTCTTCAACTGCCTGATGTTGGTGAGCTGGTGCAAACTGTAGCCTCTTTTTCCTACTTGTAGTGGAGATGAGTGGTACCCGGTGGGGTTTTCTGCTGTTGTAGCCCATCCACCTCAAGGTTGTGCGTGTTGTGGCTTCACAAATGCTTTGCTGCATTCCTCGGTGGTAACGAGTGGCTATTTCAGTCAAAGTTGCTCTTCTATCAGCTTGAATCAGTCGGCCCATTCACCTCTGACCTCTAGCATCAACAAGGCATTTTCACCCACAGGATGTTTTTCCCTTTTCACACCATTCTTTGTAAACCTAGAAATGGTTGTGGGTGAAAATCCCAGTAACTGAGCAGATTGTGAAATACTCAGACTGGTTTGGTAAAATTTTGTAAAAAAAAAAAAAATTCTGCAACTTGGGCAAAACTGGTAAAGGGTTAAATATTGCCCAACCTTATTGTGCGCTTGTGGTTGTGTGTGTGTGTGTGTGTGTGTGTGTGTGTGTGTGTGTGTGTGTGTGTGTGTGTGTGTGTGTGTGTGTGTGTGTGTGTGTGCGTGTGTGTGTGTGTGTTAACCTACTTGCCAAGTTGGTTCCTGGAAAGATCAAGTATCTTCAGCTTGGAGCATTTCCATTTATTGGGAGCAGGAAGTGATGAAATCAGATTTCCGCACAGCCTCAAAATGATGATGGCCTGACAGCATGAGAGAAGACATAATAAAGACTAATGAGGTGAGTCAGGTAATCACAACATGAACCACATTAAGGGCCAGCTCAGATGTGGCACCAGATCTGCCCATAGGACAGCATTAAGCAAGGCTGTGGTCTAATGGTAAATGGACAGTACGAGCTTTTCTAGATAGCACACTGAAAATGATCAGACACAAACCATGTCCTGATGGCCCTCATTAGAGCCAGAAAAATTAACCAGGAAAGAGCTATTCACCAGCGGTATATCTACAGTTACCTTATAAAAGTAAAAAGTTACTTAGTTACTTAGCTGGGATATTAGAATGTCTTTATAGAGACAGGATATTTACCATTTTTGTTTTAGTGTGCCTGAGCACAGCAAATTTTGGTAAAAGATGCTCTAAGTTGACAGCATTTTGTGTCCAGCGTTATTTTAACAATACATTTTTCTTTAGTCTGTGTCTGACCTTTAGTCACGATTTAGTCCTCCAATTTGTTTTATTTTACTCTTATTTTACTGGACTAAATGAAAAATGGGTATATTTGATTAAACCGCATACCTACAACATCTGTAAGGGAAATGGTACTTACATCAACTGTAATGCTTAAAGATTAAAAAAATCACATTTCACAATTTCAGCAATTGACATTTTAAAATTGTGTCCCAACATTTAAAGGTAAATGTTTCAATAAGGCTAATGGTACGCAAGTTGAAATAGTTAAATTACTTTTAAAATGCTTAAATTTGACCCTGTTCTATGAGTAATCTTTCACATTTTATTTTTCCCTTAGGTCCCTTCCCTGGCCCCTACAACTAAACCAATCATTTCTGTGAGCCTCCTGCCTTTCCACCAGGGGGGGCTGTCAGTCAACAAGTACAAGCCTCACACCTCACACAAGCCTGAGCTTCAGTTACCAGCGTGCATAATGGTGTCATGGCCTCAGTCGGCTCCACACTACAACGGAGCAAGACATTCTGGTATAGCTGCCTCGGCTGCCTTAACTTCTGAAACAAATGTAAAAGTTTAAAGTGCTTTTTTAAAATTCACTATGAGACGTTCTACACAGTGGAGTAGGACTTATTTTGGAGACACTTTTCAAAGAAGGAAGCCCTCAAAACTGATGAGTTGGCCAAGCAGCTTTTGGACAGGTAAATACTACGTAATGAATTGTATTTTAGAAAACTGTAAGTGATTTATTTATTTTTTTATTAAAATGAAAGACTCCCTGGTGAGATTTTCCGGGCACATCCAACTGGGAGGAGGCCTAAAGGGAGACCCAGGACACATTGGAGGGGCTACACAGTAATCTGTTCCTGTTCAGGAGGCTGAGGGAGTAGCAGGTGATGGAGGTCATCATGCTTTCCAGGGAGGCACAGTAAAAGTCGTCATGAAGCTGAGTCCAAAGGAGTTGAGTTTCCAAAGGAGATATAGCCGTTGGTGGCACTTCCTGAGAATCTCCTCTGTATTAGCAGAGAACTTTAGGAGGTTGTCAAAGGTGGTTCCCAGGTACTTGTACTCCTCAACTACCTCCACTGGCTCGCCGTGGATGGTGGTGGTGACTGAAGCAGCCGGGTCCCTCTGCCTCCTGGAGAAGGTCACCACCATCTCTTTGATTTTGCTCACATTCAATTCAAGTTTGGAGCCGTCACACCACTCTACAAGCTCCTGAAGAGCGGGTCCATGGTGTTGTGAGGGGCGCTGCTTGGACTGATGCAGTATTTGGGAAACATGTCAGTCTCTTCTCTTAACTTGTAAAAAAAAAAAAAAAAAAAAAAAAAAAAACTTCCAGAAAACTACGAAGTCCGTGTCGCGGGCATTTTTCAGAGATCGTCTCTGCTGCTGCTGCCGGCGGGCCCATAAACCTTACAAAAGTGGAGGTAAGCTATGTTTTTAACATTTATGTAAAATTTATGCAGCGCTGAAAGCATCAGACTCAATCATTTTTGCCCTAACAGTAGTTTATGAAAGTAGTCAGACAAACGAGGGGCACCTGGCTGCAGCTGGGACAATGCTCCGAGTCCTCACTCCTCTGCTAACAATCACCAACAACGTGTCTTAAAGTAACAGAAACACTCTAAAATCTCTCTGATAATGTTCTAAACAATTCTGTCAGTTTATTATGTTTCTGAGATGAGTTATGAGTCATTATGAGTAGAAAAGCTAGTAAAAACACCCAATTATACAAACAAGTGAAACTGGAAAAATTAGAATCTGGTGCAAAGTGAATTTATTTCAGAAATTCAACCAGACTGAGAGACTATATAAAGGCTCAGGAACTCTGCAGGTGTTTTCTATTTGTAATTATAAATTTTAGTAGATTTGGATCTTGTTTCATATCACACAGTGACATTTAACTGCATATTTCTTAGAAACTAAAAAGCTTTAGTTTTAGTTGTCTTATGTAACAATCACCAGCTACAAACCCAAATCCCCGCCTCCACTGATAATCTGCTCCTGGCCAACAGTTAAAACAACTTCTATTGTCGTTTCGATGAGCCACCAAGCACGTCTCACACCTACAACCATAGTAGCACTATAGTCATAAATCCCACCATCACTGTAGAACTCGCCCACAGGACCCTCCTCCTCACCCCACACCCATGAGGACCCCACATCACACACCTCCACCACAGCCTTCTACATTCACGAGGCAGATGTCAGGAAGCAGTGCAAGACTCTAAATGCATGAAAATCCCCGACTGTATATAAAAACTTTACTTGTAAAGTGCTTTTCATACAGAAAATGTAACTCAAATGCTGTACAGATTTAAAAGACCCCACATTTTACACAAATGTCATTGACAATTAAAAAACCCTACCCCCAGCACAGTGACACACGAATACACACACACTTACCCACATGCACACATGACACAGTTGAGAACATCTGAGCTCAGATGAGCCAGGTACGTAAGGAAATGCAAGGAAACACCATCAGGGGAGCCGTCTGTCCCAACAGCAGAAGAGTCATGGCAGCAGCCAGGAAACCGACACAGAGCGACCAGAAAAGGGAGGGCAGAGGCCCTCAACTACACCCAAGCACTACCTGGAAAGCACCGAGGCCGCTGACCAACGGCCCTGAGGCAGAGGGCTCCTACTGAGGAAATGCTGTAAAGTATTAAATGGTAAATGGCCTGTATTTGATATAGCGCCTTCTAGAGTCCTGGAACCCCTCAAGGTGCTTTACAACACAATCAGCCATTCACCCATTCACACACACATTCACACACTGATGGGGCCACAGCTGCCCTGGGGCGCACTGACAGAGGCGAGGCTGCCGAGCACTGGCGCCACCGTTCCCTCTGACCACCACCAGCAGCCAATAGATATATAACCAAACTGTCTTAAAATATAAGCAAGTAAATCATAAATAATAATCAGCTAAAAGCTCAGCTAAAAAGGTGAGTCTTAAGCCTGCTCTTAAAAACATGAACATTCTCTACAGCCCTGTGGTCCTCTGGCAGCCTGTTCCAGAGATGTGGGCCAAAATACTGGAAGGACGCCTCGCCATGGGTGTGCGTCCTGACTTTGGGGTTCACAAGGAGACGGCTGCCAGAGGAGCACAGAGGCCGCGAGGGTTTGTACGGTAATAGTTCGGAGAGGTAAGAAGGGCCAAGACCATTAAGACACTTAAAAACCATGAAGGAAACCTTAAAATCGATCCTGAAATCTACGGAGAGCCATTGCAAAAATTCTAAAACCGGAATGATGTGCTCCCGCTTCCTGGTCTGGATCAGGACATGATGCCATCAGTATGGCTGCACACTTCATCCTGCAGCATCTGGATTCCCCAGGTACCTACGTTAGGGTCTTGTTCGTGGACTTCAGCTCTGCCTGCCACACAATCCTGCCAGATCTCCTCCAAGACAAACCGTCCAGATGAACGTGCCTGACCCAATCTGCAGGTGGAAAACTGACTTCCTGACGGACAGGAAGCAACAAGTCGGGCAGGGGAAAACTGTGTCGGGCCTGTGGACCATCAGCCTCAGGGCTGTTTCCTCCCTTCTGCTCTTCTCCCTGTACAAAAACGGCTGCACCTCCAATCACGAGTCTGTCAAGCTTATGAAGTTTGCAGACGATGCCACCATGAGTGCCTACAGAATGGAGGATGAGCAGCTTGTGCCCGGGTAGCAGCCACAACAACTAGGTGTTAAACACCCAAAAGACAGCAGAGGTCGTTGTGGATTTTAGGAAGCACACAGCAGCACTCCCTCCCATGACCCTGTCTGACACTCCCATCACAATGAGGTACCCATGCTGCTTCCTGGGCAACACCATCACCCAGGACCTCAAGTGGAAGCCCACCATCACCTCCATCATCATGTGTCTATGCCAATGTATGTATGTCTGATCTCAGAATTGTGTGTACTGAAACTCTAATTTCCCTCTGGGTTTAATAAAGTATCTTTGAATCATAAAAAAAAAGGCCCAGCGGAGAATGTACTTCCAGAGGCTGCTGCAGAAATGCAGCCTGTCAGTACAGAATAGATTGTTAATTATGAGAAGTTATGGACTTTTTATGAATTAGATTTTTTTTTTTTCATGTTTACACTAAAATTACTCAATCTACTCAACACTAAATGTTTCAGAGATAGGACATGGATGGACATGAGAAAATACGCACCCTTTTGGCATTCAGATGTTGTCAATAAATTTGTCAACTAAGTGGTGCTGGTATACCCAAAAAGTGCTATTTTATTGCCACAAAATATTTTTTCCTTTATATTAGTTTCATCATTCTGCATGAAGTGAGATTGTGAGCTGACGGGACGCAGGCACGAGAACGTGCAAGAGGAGCAGCGCCAGTTGTAGAACAGCGAAGAAAGGTGTGGGGAAGTTGGCCTGGTTGGCTTGGAACCCATTTATAACTGCTTGAAGTTCTACTTAGTTATATTCAGTGTTTCCCTCCCATAGGCTTTACCGTGAGGCTGCACCCTGGCTGAAACTCCGGCGCTGTGCCCACAAAATGCCATGTTTATAAAAACGAGGACATCATTAATACTTCAACTGAGCCTGCGCTGCTTCCTGAACCAGCAGCAGGAAGCACACTGTCGTCGCACGCAGCGGATAGACTGTGTGTTGAATATTTTATTTGTTTTATACTTTATAAGTTTAATGACTTTGTTTTGTTTAAAATTATTATGATTTCATGACTGTTTATTTTTTCCTGTTTTTCTCTATGTGAACCACTTAGTGATTCTCTGTGATAAGTGCTACATAAATAAAAGTTACTTTTATCGCCTCTGTCAGTGTGTAGCTGTGGCTACATCGTAGCTCATCCCCACCAGTGTGTGAATGTGTGAGTGACTGATTATGTTGTAAAGCGCCTTGGGGGGTTCCCATGACTCTAGAAGGCGCTATATCAAATACAGACCATTTACCATTTACTTATTTTACTCTTAACGACACCAATGTGACACCGCAAGCTACCAATATTAAACAACAGCAAGGTAAACTTTCTTGGAGGACATCTTTAACAATTTGTACCTCTAATAATAAATAATGTTTGTACCTCTAATTCAAAGATATATGATGGCAGCTCCTCCAGGCTGTTTTCAGAGAAGTCCACTTCTTGCAGTTGAGTCCTCCAGGACATAGAAATGGCATCAGGGAGGTTCTCAAGAAGATTAGAAGAAGCTTTGCAGCATTTCTGTAGAAAAGACAGACAATATAGATAAGTGACTCTATGATAACACTTATTATCTATTCATAATCCAACATTCAAATGAGGCACAGTGATTCTTCTTGGCTGATCTATTCATAAAACTAAACAGTAAGAAAGACAGTATGAGCTAAAATAATTTCCTTTTAATTAGAACAAAATCCGGTCAATTTATTTATCATAGTTAACTTACACGAGCCATATAAGGGTCTTTTAACTCTTTTTGCCAATGCTGATTTATTTTTGGATCTCCTTTTTGATCTCAAACTAACATTATATCCATGTCCGTTATTTTTTTAACATGTCGATTTTAAAACTGGAAAAGATTAAATTAGATGAGAACCATTCCATTCAACAGGGGGATTAAGAGTTTCCCTTGCAATTGGTGGGCTGCTAGTTTGAACCCTCTCTGTGTCATTCATTGTGGGCAATACATTTCACCTGCCTGGCCTGCTGGGGTGGTCGGAAATCGTCTGAAGAGGTCTAACAGTGCAGGATGGTAGACCACTTACAAGGGCATGCATACAATGTATTGCAAGAACTAGTCACACCTCTTAAATTTTGACACATTTTGCAAAGATGCAACCACAAACTTTAATGTTTTTGAGACTTTTGGAGCCAGCTCCTCTGGAGAGGATCACAAGGCATTCCCTGGCCAGCTGAGAAACAGTCTCTCCAGCGTGTGCTGGGTCTTCCTTTGAGTCTCCTACTGGTTGGCCCAGAAAACCTCACCAGTGAGGCGTCCAGGAGGCATCCAAACCAGATGACCACGCCACCTCAACTGGCTCTTCTCGATGTGGAGGAGCAGCGGATCTACTCCGAGCCCCTCCCTGATGACCGAGCTTATCACCCTGTCTTCAAGGGATTCTTTGTAAACCCTAGAAATGGTTGTGGGTGAAAATCCCAGTAACTGAGCAGATTGTGAAATACACAGACCCGTCTGGCACCAACAACCATGCCACGCTCAAAATGGCTTAAATCACCTTGCTTTCCCATCCTGACCTTCAGTTTGGAGTTCAGGAGATGGCCTTGACCAGGACCACACCCCAAATGCATTGAAGCAACTGCCATGTGATTGGTTGATTAGATAATTGCATCAAGGAGTAGTTGAACAGGTGTTCCTAATAAACTTTTAGGTGAGTGTATATTGAAAATAAAAGTAAACACGGGCAATAAGTTTTGCTTTTTGAACAAAATCAGCTGAGAGGGCAAACTGGAGCGCCGCAGAATTCCATGAGCGTCTCTCTGTTAGAGCTGAAGCTCAGATCATCAGGGGCTGCACAGAGACTGATGGGGACACACACCTTTAGGAGCAGCTTGTTTAAAAAAACAACGATGCAGGGACCGGCCCCATTCCCCATTTATGCCACCACCGCCTAATCTTTTATAAAAAGGACAGGATTGTGCCACATTACCGCCACAGTCTGACCACTTATAAACGACCAAAGGCTCCCTGATGCCGCCACGGGGTTGCGGCAAATTGACAGCATTGATTTGTAAAAACGGCTATTGAGGCACGGATTTACTGTTTGTCTGCTCTTTTTTTTCTAATTTCAAAAGAATTATAATTCTTAAAGGATTTTAGTGCACTTTGATGAAATAATTTCAGACAATGTTCCTGTTTTCAAATCCACTGCAAGTTTTTGCCAAAATGGCTAAATGGCTCTCTTGATTTTCTCATGAGCTTCTTCATGTGGACTGAGGCTTTGTCTAGAGCCCATCATTTGCTGATGCCTGCCATGTTGCTGAGGCTGAGACCGAGACCACTACGAACAAGCCCAAGGGGGATTTAATCCAAGCCCACGGTCCAGCAATTATTAATGGCCAACGAACTGGGCTCCAGCAACACCCACCAGGCCCAGGCTTCACCACTAGTCATCAGGCCCAGGCCCCAACACCTGTAACCAGCACTTGGGTTGGGAATCGAAAACCGGTTTCCATTATTTAAATTCCTATGAATTGTTCGTCACTATTGCAAACAATTCCCCTTATCAATTCCAGTCAGTGCGAATGAAGTCACCACGCATGTTCCGTAGCTTGCGGAAACAGGAAACATGGCATTTAAGAGGCAAAAATGTTTAAAAGTTTGGTTAAACTTTACAAGAAAGAATAACAGGGTAACTTGCAATAGTTGCATAGTAGATATTTCATCAAGGTAAGGAAAAAGTATTTGGGCACAAAATGTGATAACTTTGAGTTAATGATGTGTTCTGACCCACTGTGGACTAGTGAATTTCAATGCAGTGGCAGCGGTGATCTCCTGTTAATACTGCAGGTAACTGATCAACTAACACTGCCGTTGGCGTCCTTAGCCTTACATAAAATGATATTATAAAATCAACCTCTTTGACAAATGGCATTCCTTTCACATAGGCTCTCGTATTCTGACAGATCATTTGCTGCTGTGGCCCCCAGACTCTGGAGCTCTCCCCCCCTGAGCCTGAGATCAGTGGACTCAGTGGTCTCCTTTAAAAAGCAGCTGAAGACTCACTTGTTCAAGCTGGCTTTTGTATGACCTTCTTCAACCCCTCTCTCTTTGTTCTGCTCTTCCCACCTATTCCACCTTCCTCAGGATCCACCGATTTCCCTCTTTCCTATTCACTCTCTCTCTTTCTTAAAATTTTTTCTTTTAAATCCCAATTGCTTATTTTTGCTCATTTTAAATATATTTTTAAACATTTTCTAAATGCTTTTTATATTTAAACTTTTTTTTTGTTTTTGTGAAGCGCCTCATGATTTTTATCTTGAGAGGCGCTATAGAAATGATATTTTCTTCTTCTTCATAATTGTCGATATAGTGGGAGTTTCACGGAATGTTATGTCGTGATCCACTCTTCCATGCGATTTGGAAAGCTACCGTAAGCTTAACGGTGATGGGAATGTTAAATTTGCATGTCTGTGTTGGTAAAACGAAACCTGATGTCTGGAATTAACCAAAAAGGTAATGTCCGGTATAAATGTTGGAAAAATGTCCGGAATTGTACAATAATCGCGGCTGATCAGGCCGGATTAGGAGAAGCTTTGTGCTAACGGTGGAGAATAGGATTTTTACCTGTCTTCCAGTTACACAAGCATTACATACGAGTGACATAAAGAGACAGAATGAACACACATTCACTTTTAACAACAGTCATATATCCAGCTTAATGCAGACACAGAGTTGGGGGAGAGAGGGGGACAGCGCCCCCTGAGGTAAGCTGACGGGAGGCCCCGTTCCAGCAGCAGTTATTGTTTAATGAGTCAGAAATAACACGGAGTGTTTAATGATTCAAGATAAGATTGGCTGGACTCGCCATATGAAACAATGTTACGTAGTGTTTTTGAGGGGTTTGATTATGACCAATAAGGTGTGATGATTCTATTTAAATATAGATTATCAACCTGGTTGATCTTTGAATGTTTAACCAGAAGAATTTAGCATTCTTTGCTTATTCAGGGATCATAAACACACTTTGTATTAATTCAGCCAGAGTCAAGGATATAATTAAAATAAACTTTATTTTCTAGACTAATTATAATGCATGACAAGTTATGAAACGATGTGTGATGGATGAATATGTGTGAGTGGAATGTGATGATGTATGGTGATGTGTGATCAGAATTTTTGTATCTGGAAGAAACTGAGTTCTGCGGTTGAAAGAATTTGGTCTGATAAAACTAGAAAGTTGATTACTAATAAAATGGCATCAGATGCAATCTGTCATGTCTACAAACCTGATCGGAGAACTTCGGTGTGATCTGGAATGTCAGGAAGTCTAGTGAACCTCAAGGCACCGAAGTTCATAGAAAAACCGCAGTACGACCGTAGGGATGGGTACCTTTGACATTTGAATCGATTCGGTACTAATTTCCGGTACCAAGGAATCAATACCGGTACTTAACGGTACCAATTTTCGATACTTTTGAGTGTTTAATATTTTAATTCTTTTTTATAATTAAATATATATTTTTCTCAATTTATAACAATATTTGATAAATATCACGATAAATAGCATTCAACTGTTTGTATTTTAACATCTTCCTTGTAGTTTTATAACCTGACAATTAAACTGAAGCAAACATCTTTACTGTGAACTAAATTTACTGTGTATCTTCATTCCTTTTGCCGTCCTTTTTCATTTGATTTTTCCTACTGGGAAGTTAGAATTTCCGAGGAGAAAGCGAACGCACCATTAGCTGATAACAACGGTGGCAATGGATGCTAACATATCAAGCTAACATTATCTTAAACAGTTTATTTAACTGCTGGAGCAGATTAAAACGATGATGCCTCACACTTAGACCGTTGTCACTGGTTTCATCTTCACCCAATCACCCGTCGCATTTAGTAAAGTGAAGCCAAACTTTAGAGCGCGTTCATGTTCTTCTAGTCGGAAATTCAGAGTTCCGAGGAGAAAGCGAACGCACCATTAGCGGAACGGAAGCTAACATATCAAGCTAACGTTATCTTAAAACATTTTATTTACCTACCGGAGCAGATTAAGATGAGGATGTCTCACTTAGATCGTTGTCGCGTTTCATCATCACCCAGTTACCCATCACATTCAGTGAAGTGGACCCAAGCTTTAGCGTGCGTTCTTTCTGGCTGGGGAAGGACACGCAAACACACACACACACACACAAACACTGAGCTGGGGAAGGACACGCATACACACACACATACCCACACACAAACACTGAGGTGGGGAAGGACACGCAAACACACACACACAAACACTGAGCTGGGGAAGGACACGCAAACACACACACACAAACACCGAGCTGGGGAAGGACACGCATACACACACACACACCCACACACAAACACCGAGCTGGGGAATGACACACACACCGAGCTGGGGACAAAGAGGCTGGAGCTACACCTGGAGGGGCTGGGGATGACTTAATGAACACCGGACCTGAGGGGAATGATCAGAAGGGCTACAACAGAAGACACATAAATGAGACGCAGACAAAGGACACATGAGGGCGCTATGAGACACCAAAAGGGGAATCTAGAGAGGGATGGAGAACATCAGGAGACACATGAGGGTGCTATGAAACACAAAAGGAGAACCTGAAGTGGGAACTCGAGGGGCTGGGGAACAAAGGGACACAGAACATGACATCTGTGAAGCGAGGGAGGGGGGGTCTCCGTGAGAGGGGGATTATCTGTGAATGAATTAATACCGGAACATTTTTGGTAAATAATAATTCAGGAAGACGGTGGGAACAAGGAGTAAAATGGTTTACAGTTTTTAAAACAGTTTCCAGCCCAAAACGAAAGAATTAACAGGTGTGAAAGTTTTCACTGATAGTTTAATCACAGGATCAGTATTACATCACAACTCCAACGCTCCTGGTTTCGACTCCACTGAGTGTAACTTCTTGTCTTCTGCGCATGCGGGTCGCTTTGGTGCCGCGGAGCGTTCACACTGGAGAGTTTGAAGTTGGAATTGTGCATCAAGGCCTGCAGTGTGAACGTAGCCTAACTGATGACTCAACTGCTACAGCTGAAGCTCTAAATCACTACTTTGTAGAATCTGTAGATGTAATTGCTACCAGTTTTTCATCACATCAACAATACATTTCAAAGGAACCAATGTCCTTAGCACCAATCTTCACTTTTGAACGTGTCTGAAGTGCAGGTGTTAAAGTGTGTTGCATCACTTAAACCTAAACTGTCAAAAGATGTGTATGAAATGAACTCTACTATGATTGGGGAGAGTGCCTGTTCATTAATGCAACCTATGACTCATATTATGAACATTTTGTTGGCACAGGGCCAGGGCTGCTTCTCCCATTCCTGGAAGCCAGCAGTTGTAGTACCTATCTGTAAGTGGGATGATTCTCATTTTGCATTTTATTTAAATATCTTCATCTTTATTCATTTTTAGGAGGTTTTTTGTGTTGCATTGCTTGAAGAACGAATCAGAAAATGAAAACTACCTGAGAGGTTATATTTTATATGTTTTGCATGTTAAATGCTCTTTAATATTTTGTAGAAGTATTTGTTCTGCTGGAATCCATCTGATATGTAAGGATGACAAAAAACTGTAATTTTGAAATAAATAAACAGAGTAAAATTGGTATAGATTTTAGGCCATATGCCCATTCCTACCAAATGAATAATACACCAGCTTTTATCAATCCCCCGACCTGCATGTTTCCCATGTCTCTGCTTCAGCCCACCTGATTTACATATTTGCATTGCCTTCTTAGGATGACATCAAGTGCTGCAGAAACCTCTTAATCACTTGTGAAATGAGAAAACGGCTCTGTGTAGTAACCTTTGAATCTTTAATCTTAAAAGAATCAGGATGTACCTTTGGACAAAAATAAATCAAACTAAGCTTTGACCAGCTTCTTCGTTAAAGCCTTAAATATTTCTGTATATACACTGCCTAGAAATTGCCAACTGGAATCAACTAAGCAAGCAGGTAGGAGTTGGACAATTACTGCATGGGACCATCTACAGCAGGCAAGGCAGTTGAAGTGTTTTGCCCAAGGAAAGAACAGCTGTGATAAAATAACAACCGGCCACTGCTGCTTTCAAAACTGATGTTTGAACACATGATTGTGTTCTGGCCCTGGTAAAGTGATGTCAAATGTTTTACACTTCTCGGTCAAAGAAAAGTCTCCAGCAGGATTTAACTAAGCAGACAGGTAGGAGCCTCCTACTGGATAATCACCGCATGGGTGATGATCTTTCAGCTGCAACAAGTTATTTAACCCAACCGGTGCATTGAGCTGCTTCTCATTTCCTAAACAACCATGTGGACACACCTGGTGGTCGTGGAAAAGATGTTAGTTTGTGTGAGAAGGGTCAGATCGTTGACATCAAGCAGAGAAAACATCTAAGGAGATGCAGAAATGACTAAAACTGGGTTAAGAACTGTCCAACGCTTTATTAAAACTGGTCTGATGAGTCCAGATGGACCCTGTCCCAGAGTGATGGTGCATCAGGGTAAGAAGAGAGGCAGATTAAGCAATGCACCCATCATGCCTAGTGCCTACTGTAGAAGCCTGTGGGGGCAGTGCTATGATCTGGGCTTGCTGCAGTTGGCTAGGTCTAGGTTCAGCAACAGGATGTGCTCCAAGAATGAGGTCAGCTGACTACCTGAATATCCTGAATGACCAGGTTATTCCATCTTCCCTGACGGCACGGGCATATTCCTACATGGCAGTGCCAGGATTCATCAGGCTCAGATAGTGAAAGAGTGGTCCGGGGACCACGAGACATTTTCACACATGGATTGGCCACCACAGAGTCCAGACCTGAACCCCATTGAGAATCTTTGGGATGTGCTGGAGAAGGCTTTGTGCAGCGGTCAGACTCTACCATCATCAATGCAAGATCTTGGTGAAACATTAATGCAACATAGATGGAAATAAATCTGGTGACATTGAAGAAGTTTATCGAAACAACGCCACAGCGAATGCGTGTTGTAATCAAAACCAAAGGCAGTCCAATGGAATATTAGTGTGTGACCGTTGTTGTGGAGACTTATTTTGGGCCAGGCGGTGTATATCAAAGTTTCTTTCTGGATTATTTCTCTTATATGATGGCACCATCTAGTGGCTGACAAGCATATCACACAAATAGTTTCTTCTTCCGTTTTATTTATTTTTTTTAAGATGGTGACTTCACGTTTCTGTTTATAAATGTGCTTCTGTACCGACAAACAGCTAAAACACGTTGTTTTACGAGTATTATTCTCGTGTCATGTTGTGTTCTCATACATCGATAGTTTAGAGACTTACTTGTCCGTGAAAAGTTCATCGACTCTGCATCAGCCGAGATATTCCTTAAATTTGAAGCACATAAGCGGTAGTCTAACACTAGTGGTTAGTTCTGGTCGGCACTCAGTTTCCTATTGAACAGAACTCTGCGGGGCAGGGGGTGTACTTAGCAACAAAAAAAGCCGTATTCCTTACATTATATCACAGTACATGGTGAAACAATCACTTTTACAGATTTCTGAAAAATCCTATGGAATTTCTGAAAGGGGAAAACTACAGAAAGATACTTTAATGTAATCAAGGGAAGAGTTGTTTTTTTTCATCCTGGTTCATTTCTTACCAGAGGACAAGCCCAGGGGTCTGGGAACGTGCGGAGTTTATTCCTGCACACCTTCAGAGTGCCCAGGGACTTCAAACAGTGCATAATAGATATGGGAAGGCTGCTCAGACAGTTATCAGACACATCCAGCTCCTCCAGCTTACGGAGACCGATCCAGTTCACAGCTGATTAGGAGGAAATAAACAAAACTTCATTAGATGAAGGCAGGACAAATCGATCAGTTTCAATCTGTATCTGAATGATCAAAAATGTTATTGTGTTCCACATCTTACAATGTTCACTTCCATGCATAAAAACTAAATTGTTGGAATTGTTGTCTGTAATGTGTAAACTAAAGAACTGCAGAATAATTCAAGGTTTATCTTTTATTATTGTCTTGTATTGTTGTCTTCACTGCAGCATGCTGGTCAGGATCGTTACTAACGGCGTTGAATTATAGGTAACAGAGTAATCTAATTACATTTCCATCATTGCAACGCTGTTACCGTTACTGGGCATGCAAAGTGGTGCAATACTCCGTTACAGTGACTCCATCTACTACCGTGGGCATGACCTAAGTGCTGTCAAAAGACACAAGAGACTAAATTGTACCTCCACAAGGCTGGAAATGGCTACAGGGATATTGTCAAGCAGCTTGGTGAGAATAAATCAACTGTTGGAACATTTGTTAAAAAGTAGTTAAGCCTGGGGCACACAGAACACAGACGAGCCGAGGTTTTGGGAAGTCAGATGGTCACACGGGAAGCACCGCAACGCTGAGTGCTTCTTGGAAAATTGTGTAATAGTCACAAAATCACGTGGGACTTGAACAGGAAGCGGAAAGTGACTTTTGTTTTTACGTGATCAGACTTGCTGTAGTGTTTTGTGAGCCTCTAATTGTTTAAAAATTTGTAAGTATGCTATTTATTAGAATACTTTATGATCAATAGTACTTTAAAGTCATCAATACTGTGGCTGGGTTTGTGCCGTAAAGCCATTCCGCTTCATAATGTCTGCTGTAAAGCACTCCACAATGTTGTAAACAGTCGCGCTTGAAATAAAACCGGCACCGATCTTCAGTGCCTCGGCACGGACCGGCGTGTCTGGGACATGGCACTGCACTCCCCGTGTAGCCACTCTCAGTACCGTAAATCCTCTAATACAGGCCCGGGCCTGTATTTTACTCAAGCTCATCAAGCCCCGGGCCTTTATTGGAAGGAGGGCCAGAATTAGAAGCAGGCCTCTATTTCTATTTGAGCAAAATGAACTAATGGTCTGCTGGAGTTTTTGACAATTAATATTGCGCCCACATTTTCAAAGTTAAACACATTTCTTTTAACAACGGTAGTTTCTGCTTCAGCCCTCTCCCCCCTCCCCCTGCGCAGCGGCCGCAAACTCACTGATGCGCCTGCAGCCTCTCAGAGTTCCTGCTGCTCTAAACATTAAAATAATTATTTCATTTTCTTTTCCTCACTTCTGATTACCTTCAATGGTGTCTGTTGCAACCACCAGGTACAAAAACTAACTTGTTTTTATTTGACTATTTTTCTGTCCTGCCTGTTTATTATCTTCCTGCATCTCCTCTCAATCCTAAAGAAAAACTGCTACCTGGGTTCATATATATTCACCTTATGAGTTACCTTTGAACTGCAGTTCTAAAAGATCTACCGACCGTAAAAACAGCGGGGTGCTCGCCGGCCACATCAGTTAGGTGCATCACCGAGGACAAAACAGGTGATGCGCCCTGATCCACAGCAGCGAAATGCATCAGGCACAAATAAAAGAATAAAAGACAGAAAACATAAAAGGGAATGAGCCGACATGAAAGATCGCGTGTTAAATTAGTTTTTGAGGTGGCGACACCTGATTTGATAATGTTACTGTGGCCGTGCTCAGGATGCAGATGTCTGGAGCTTGTCACCTGCTGACAGCAGGCTGCTGTCTTTTCCGTGGACTGCATCTTGCCGGTCATTATCACGTGACAGCGACTAGTCGATGAGAGGCATAAAAAGTCACTATAGAGCGGTGAAGTCGACTAGTGACTAGTTCATACAACCCCTGATACTGCTCCCCAGAGTGTTCTGCAGCATAATCAGCACGTTCTCTTTGAACTTGATATCAAATTTTCGCCTCCTCTTCGTCTCCGCACGGTTAAAGTTACCCTCGCGGTCTATCACTGGCAAATCAAAAGTGAGACGATGACACAACCGCCCCCCGTACTTGCTTGTTACCACATTCCACCCGGCCACAATAAAAAACCGGCCATTATTCACCTCCGCCGACTCCGACACCGGCCAAAATATGACACCCGGCAGTTAACTGAATACAGGTCAATGTTAGAGGATTTACGGTAACTATAATGGCTTCTTCTTAAAATGATGGAGCAGGCGTGATGCAGCGCATCTGTCTTCTGAGTGCCCTGGGCCTAAGTGTTCCTTGGACGGGGGCTCCATGAGACTCCTTCTCCTGGCATTAGCACAAAGTACTTCATCTAGTTCATTTGGATTTCTTTCAATGTGTGTATGTGTCTGCTTGTCTTTTCAAAGCCCCCGTTGTTCTTGGCAGACAGCTGACAAAACCAGTCAGAAAACTTTTAACTAATAGGAATAATAAACAAATCTCAATGAACTGTTAATTAGGTTTTGTTTCAGTGCACAGCCCAGTATTAGCTCAACTCAGACTTCAAGCCTACGGTGGATTAACATGTATTCATCGATACATGTGAATGCAGGTGTAACGTGACAAAACCTGAACATACTAGATGAGATGTCAAACAGAACGGTGAGTTGGTTCTTAGAAGCACAAAGTCTCTGAAGGTCGATCAGGTGAAGGAGACCAGATGGTAAACTTGTGAGCTGGTTCTGATGGAGGTTTATTTGCTGCAGTCTGAAAGATATTGGGAGAGAGGAGCTGCAGATTTACTCACATAAGATGTAATGACTTTAGACTTTTCTGTATTACTACACTCAATGCAATAAGGATTTATTACATTTTCCCAAAGTAAGGATTAAGTGCATTATTCCTCTCTATCTTCACACTAAGGAAACAGCATTTTATTAAACATTGGTGAAGGTGCTCCCACAAAGTTCCACTTTTTGGAGCAATTAACAACCATTAGCATCTGGCCACTTTAACCCTCCCACTATCCTCATGGGTGACCCCACCAGGAAAGTTGACCATTGAGCAGGGTTGATGGTTTACCCCTTGAGGTCCATGTGGCAGGGGGGAGGAGTGAGCACCACCTCCCCCCTGCCACATGGTCGTCAAAGGATAAACCATGAACCCTGCTCAATGGTCAACTTTCCTGGTGGGGTCAGTCGGAGGGTTAAACAAACAAAAGAGAGAAATGGTTGGAACAGGTAGGAAAAGAGACAAAACGTTTCTCAAAGTGATCTGCAAGCCTTAAAAGGAACACAGGTCAACAAAACTTTGTGGTTCTTAAAAGATAATTATTAGTGTCAGTTAGGGCTGCACAATATATCGAAAATTATCGTCATCGGGATAACAGGACGTGCGATAGGCCCATCGCAAAGCACGTCAAAAACGGCGATAAACGTTTGGTTCAACATTTCCATCCGTGTCATCCATCAACTTTTTGTAAACAGCTCTGTTTTTTACGCGGAACTATTATTTGACCAATCAAATGTAGCCCTTCTGATATGCGGCCAATCAGATGGTCCCGTTCACGTAACACGCCCGCCCCCTGCGTAGACCCAGGAAAGCAACACCCGAACTGAGTTAGCGGCGCCGTTCCCTTGTTCGTCATGCTGGCTCAGATTAACAAACACACTTTGTGCTGATGCTTCTGGAATCAGCGCTGCTTTCAAACGTGAACGTGAGTCCGCTCGGTGTCCATTTTTACCGGGCTGACTCCGACACGTGCCGGTGAACCAACCCACCTACCTCCATGTCACTAGTGTTCCACCGGGTGGTGATGTTAGCCCCAGGCTCCGGTTAGCTTCCAGCTAAAAGGCTACACCACTCTCCTCCCAGTCCCACCCTGCTAAAGAGGGCCTGGAAAAGTTCCCCCACACATCAAAGTGATTTTTCATTTATAACCTTGTTAATCAGGATAGTTGATTTGCTAGCTCTGCTAGCCGGTTATCTTAGAGGAGCTAGTTCAATTTGTTAGCTTGTTATCAGAATCATAGTTGCAGTTTCATCATCTGAGCCGCCTTTTAAAGATCTAGGTAAACTTGTTCAATTTGGGGTTAAAACCAAACATTTTCACATATTTTCCATGTAGTTATTTTTTGCCAGTTCCTCTTCTGAAAGGTAGACAATTGTTTTTCTCTTTCCCTCAAAAAATCTCAATTTTCTGCTAGTTTGGCCCAGCACAGCTCACTTCCCAATAGCAGCAACAGCCTTATATCATAACCACATAAGTGGAGAAAATGCTCAGTAGCAATGAGAGAATTTGCTGTTGCATTTAAGTGATGTTAACTATTATTTAACATTTAAACTTATTTTCTGATTTTTTTATTTTTATTTATTCTAAAAACCCTGGTAAGGGATGTTTTTCTGTATTTGGAGCATCAGAAACAGTTTTATGGTGGTGGTGATGTTTTAAAGTCACTGAGAAACTGCATACATGCAGTTTGTTGTTTTGCTGCTAATACAGTAGCAGGTGCAGCTGCATATTATTGAAATAAAAATGTTATGTTGTAATGGAATTCATGCATTAGTTTTTGTTTGCTTTGAGCCCAGAGCAGACGTCACACGCCAGACGACATCAACACTGCATACTTTAGTATTTGTTCATTTATTGTGAGTAATATCGATATTGCAATATTAAGTACTGTTATCGAATATCGCAGGTTTTCCTAATATCGTGCAGCCCTAACACACACACACACACACACACACACACACACACACACACACACACACACAACATAAATACCAAGTAGTGTTTCTGTGGTTACATTGTGAGTTCTTAGTAAATATTCTAATTGGTGAGAGATAAACTTTATTGTATTTATCCTAGTGAATCTATAATTAAACGGGTAAACTAGTAGTAGCACATTCAATGTCAAAGAAAGTAAAATATTGTTTAAATATTATAGATTTATAAATAAATGGATATATTTTGTGTGTTTCTAACAACATAGTTTGGTACAACAGAAAACTTGTGGCTTATTAGGGCACACATGTCCTCATAGCCGGAGTTCCTTGTGCCTGATTTATGCTTCTCCGTCTGCGTCAGTGCGGAGACACGCAACGCCATTATCCGTCCTTGCGTAGGGCTCCGGCAGGCACGCAAGTACGTACGGAGTCGAGCCCACTTTTTTAAACATCCGTTGAACGAGACGGATTACGCAAGCTTGTGATTGGTCAGGACGCCGCTGTTGTTTACAGCGCCGCCATTGCAAAGAGAGCCGAGGATAACTAGCGGCAGACACAGAGAAGCTTGAAGAATACCTCGCGAAAAAACAAAAAATATGAACGTTTAATCCTCCCGTGACTGGAGGAGTGAAAAGATGCGCAGCAAGCATTTTATTTGTGGACGGAAATGACAGGAAACGTGGGTATAGAGGCGGGGAGCGCATGAAGAGGTGGAGAAGAATGAGAGACAAATATGTCCGTGTTAAAAGTCTCTTATATACACAAAAAACATAATATAAACACACTATCTTGGACCGATACATGACAGGATACCACAGAACAGCGCTACGCCCTCTGTTGTCCTGGTGGGGAATTGCTTTGCAACACTCTCCAGGAGACGGAGAAGTATGAGAGCAAAACGCTTCCGTCAATCCGTGTATGTCTGTCCCTTGCGGAGCTGACGGAGAAGCATAAACCAGACTTAAGGCAGAGATTCTCAATTAGTGGGACGCGCACCCCTTGAGTAAATTTTTTACATTTATATTATCACAATTTTTCTGACTGTAAAATTGTAAAAACAAATGTATAACCATTGGGGCAAAAAAGTATTTGGCAGCCAAAAGTTGTGCAAGTTGTCCCACCTAAAAAGAAAAGACATCTAATTTTCATCACAGGTATACCTCAACTGTGAGGGATAAGATGAGTGGACTGGCCATCTGGCATACTGGGCATCAACCCACTAATCTATTTACCTAAAGTGAGCTGGTCTGGTCGGCTAGGATTTTTTTCTCTAACACTCCTAAAATTGGGCAAGCCAACTGGCTACAGATGGCCCACACTGCATTGTGTTGCCAACACATATTATTGGTCTTTGGCCATTGTCAGTCAATTGTGGGCTGACAGGTTCAGAGAGCCTTGACAGTCACAACACAAACCAGGGTGGGCGTGACCTTGTGACATGGGCCAGAGTGGCAGGACTGGCTGCTGCTGAGCTGATAGAGAAGCACAGGAAATACCCTGGTGGCACTGGAAAAACCTCGACTTTACCAGCTGAAGTCTCTCGAGGTGGAAGCTGCTAAATAGTAATACATTAAACAAAAATATAAACACAGTACTTTTGCTTTTGCTCCCATTTTTCATGAGCTGAACTCAAACATCTGAAACTTTTTCTGCATACACAAAACAAACATCCATGACTCTCTCACATTCGCAGCCCGGATTAGTTGCTAAATCAAAGAATGAATTCTTAAAATATGAACTTTTAAAACTTACAAGTTAAATAATCATTAAATAAACATTTGTTTATGGCTACTTATAATAATTATAATATAAATGAAATGCTTTCATTAACCTGTGCTTGAGTGATTGAAGTTTGAAATGAATGTTATGATTACAGTGATTTATGTTTCAGCATGTTGATATGACAAGGTCATCACCATTTGCACTCAAACAAGGACAAAGTTAAGTTAAACGCGTGACACATAGATAGTCCTTTACCCCAGATCAGAGCATCCGGATCAAAGAAGGCGTGGTTCTGAGATGTCTTGGTAACATTCCTCAACTTGTCAACCTCTGGTTGGCTACACAAATCATAACATGAGAACATTAAAACTGGATCACTCTGGTGATTCAGCAGTTCTTGAGAAAGCTTCAGACCGGCCATCTGAAGCAAAACCTCTAACCCATCAAAGCTTTTGACACGCCGTCAGAATCTTTTTGCACCTGCGAAGCTGATACAGCAAACAGTTCCTGCAGAACAAGCTGATATTGTTCTGACCCCTTAAGAGTCCCAGACGCACGGTTCCATCCATCTCTTGTGACCTGGAGACAACTCTAAGACTGGTTTAATAGTGCCGCAAGTTCTTCTATGGACCTCGGTGCCTGGAAGTCTGAGGAATTCGACATTCCGATCTATCATGAGGGTCTTCAAGTGGGTATGTAGACATGACAGATAGCGTCTGATGTGTTTTTGATAATAATCAACTTCATAGCTTAACACAAACCAAATTCTTTTCCATCCAGAACTCAGCTCTCCTAGATACGGAAGTTCTGATAACACCGCATTCACACATAGGTTCATACATCACATCTAGTTCCATCCATCACAGTAAATATTAGTTAACCTGTCATGTTTTAATTGTTTGTAAAATAAATTCTTACTTTTATAAACCTGACTCTTTTCTGAATCAAAACGAAGTGTTTACAATCCCTGAATAAACAAAAAATCCTAGAATCTTCTGATTAAACACAGTAAAGACCAAGCAGTTGATATTCTATATTTAGATAGAGTATCACAGCTTATTGGTCATAAGTAGAGGTAACATATATTGAGCTCTTAAAGCACTCAATTCCTCAAACCCTACAATGACAATCTTTTAGTTAGAAAGGCCTGAAATTATGATTAGATTGTGGGTTTCTTAACCTGACCCTAAATGAGTTGTTACACTATAATGTACAGCAATTGTTAGTTGAATGAATAATAATCTAATACAGACTATTTATCAAAATGTTGTGGCATTCATAAAGTGTAATGGCAGCCCCTTGAGGGCAGCCAAGTTTCACGCCCCTGCCTTTAAAAAATAATGTTATGAGTGCACAAAGCTAGTATGGATTACCTAGAGCAGATGACATCCTGGGAATTTTCAGCAAAAGGCAATTCTTTCAAAGTATTATTAGAAAGATCCAAATTTCTTAGGCGAATGAGACCCCAAGGAACCACAGAGGGCAGCGTAGCCAGGCTGTTGGAGGACAGGTCCAGGTGGGTGATCTGTGAGCAGACATCTAGGAACCAGTCCAGCTCCAAAAATGGAAGCTGCAAACCACTCCAATACACACCAACAGCCTACACACAACACACAAATACAGGGTCACTTCAAGGTTATTTCATGTACCTGAAAATATTCCCAAGTACACAGTGAGTATTGTTATTACTGTCTAACCAGACATCCTAACCAGCTCTTCCCTCACCAGGCCATCAGCCTGCTGACTTACATGTTTTCAATAAGAAACATACCTCATCTTCACTTGAACTGGAACTTTCTTGTATTTTGTTCTTCAGGAGTTGTTTGCTGAAGTCAGGAAAGTCAATCAATGTGTACGATGAGAATCCAGCGCCATTGTCTAAAAGGAAGTGAGCCATTTCCTCGTTGCCTATAACACAGGATATACAGCTAACTGGACCCATCTGATGTCTGCTTGTGTCTGTCATTCAGAATGATTAGGATTACCACCTTTGTGTGTGAACACACCTTCTGACTGTGGAGAAACTACTAGAGGCTGTGAAATAGGGTTGATTGGTGGTAATCTTAACCCGACTATTCTTTGGTGTAACAGGCTATGAACTAAGCAGTAAAAAAAAAACAATAATAATATAATATAAATAGTATTTTATAAGTTTTCTAGTTAATTTTTCCCCCTATATTTTTATTAAGCTTTTACAGTGTAAACATACAAACTTATAATAACAAAACACATGCATAACAACAAAGAAAACAGAACATTACAGGTTAACCAAATTAGGGTAATAAGACAAGGCTAAAGATAATGAAAATGGGAGACTTAACCCACCCCTCCATCCCCTCCATCCCGACGAAGACCTTGTTTTAGAGTGTATCCAGGACCCTACTAAATAACTAGAAGAGCAAGGTTAAATCGGGTGCATAAAGGGTTGCCAAGTTGCATCAAAATATTGGAGTTTGTCCTTCAAAACATATCTTAGTCTTTCCAGATGTAATGTATTCGTTACTTCCTCCAGCCACATTTTACCTGTTGGAGGTTTTTCACTCTTCCACCTTGTAAGGATATTTTTTTTCCCTATTATAAGACCGTATGAAACGAAGCACCGCTGTGCTTTGTTTAATTTTTTAAAGGTTTCAGACACTCCAAGAACAATAAATAAAGGGTCCGGTTCTATCACACATTTCACCACCTCGGACATCACACTGAAGACCTCAGACCAAAAATTGCCTATTTCTGGGCAAAGGGCATAGCTATGGAGATGAGTTGCCACAGAGGTTTTGCATTTATCACACAAAGGTGATACTGTAGGATATATATTATGTAGTTTTTCCTTTGAGAAATGAAGTCTATGTATGATTTTAAATTGAATAAGACAATGTCTTGCACTACGTGAACAAGTGCTAATCTCCTCAAGGGCACTGTTCCATAAATCTTCTGCAATCGGTTCCCCAAAATCTTTCTCCCATTTGTGTCTATGTAAATGGGCAGGTGGGGAGTTTAATAACAAGAGGTTCTTATAAATATGCGCTATCAGTTTAGATTCATGTATCGGCAATTTCAAGCAGTCATCTATTAAAGTTTTTGGTTTGGTCCGAAAATCCTCAGAATGCCTACGTATATAATCTCTAATTTGTAAATATTGGAAAAATGTGTGTTTTTCCAGTCCAAACTTCTGCTGTAGTTGGGAGAACAAGGCAAACACCCCTTGTACATACAGATCTCCAACACATTCAATGCCTTTCTGATTCCACCTAGAGAAAGCTCCACCCGAGTCAGAAGGGGCGAAGGTAGGATTTCTATTTATGGGCAATACAGAGGATATAGCCTTGAGATTATTGCTGGATTTAATTTGTTTCCAAATATGAATTGTGTCAAGAATAACCGGATTATTGTTGTATAATAACCCACTGATCTTGGGACCAGTAGAACTGTAGCCAATGAATATGGTTGGCATTCTTATTTATTATGTATCTTGTTTATTATGTGAAGTGCCTTGAGACAACTCTTGTCGTGATTTGGCGCTATATAAATAAACTTGAATTGAATTGAATTCTTCTAGTTCCATCTGAAGCAATTAGGTGGAGACTTTGTGATATTTAGCCAGAAGATGCACATTTAATAGCTGAGGCCCAGTGATAAAATTGAAAATTTGGAAGCGCTAATCCTCCAGCAAGTTTAGGTCTGCACAGATATTTCTTAGCTATTCTGCGAGCCTTATGTACCCACACAAAAGGAATTATTAAAGAATCTAATTGCTTAAAAATGTCTTTTTGAGAAATATTGGAATATTCTGAAAGAGATATAACAGCTGCGGCAATAGGACCATCTTAACTGCGTTTATTCTTCCGATCATAGAAATTGGAAGCGTGTCCCAGAACAATAACTGAGTGCAGCTTCTCTATTAAAGGAGGGAAGTTGTATTGAAAGAGTGAGGCATACTGCCTTGTTACTTCAATTCCTAAATATGTAAATCTTTCTAAGGTGAATCTAAACGGAAAATTAGCGAGGAATGTCAGGTCATCCCTGTAAACTGGGAGTAAAAAGCTTTTTGTCCAATTAATCCTGTATCCTGTGAAGGTCCCAAATAGATTGATTTTATCTAAAAGTGCTGGTATAGTAATTTGTGGGCGTGTCAGATAAAGAAGAATACCATCTGCATACAGAGATATTTTATTAATTGTGTCTTTAGTAGTGTATCCTTTTATTGGTGGGTCTAGCCTAATACTTTGAGCCAATGGATCTATAGCAAGAGCAAAGATTAAAAGGGAGAGGGGGCATCCCTGCCTCGTCCCCCTGCACAGCCTGAGTGAGGAAGACAGTGTGCGACTGGCAAGAATTTGGGCTGTGGGGTTGTTGTAAAGAAGCTTAATTTGTGACAAAAAAACATTTCCAAAGTTGAATCTACTGAGGACTTCAAATAGGTATCGCCATTCGACCTGATCAAACGCCTTCTCAGCATCAAGCACGAGTATGACAAGATCTGAGTGTGTATCCCTTCTTGAGTACATAATATTAAAGAGGCGTCTAATCTTAAAGGTGGAATTTCTATTAGGTACAAAACCCAACTGATCTGAATGAACCAACTTCTCCAATAAAGGGCTCAGTCTGTTAGCAAGTATTTTAGCAAATAGCTTCCCATCAACATTCAGGAGCAAAATAGGGCGATAAGCACCTACTTCCTGTGGATCTTTTCCTTTTTTATGAATTACCATGATCACAGTTTCAGTTAAGGTCGGCGGTACAGCCCCATCTTCTTGAGCATGTTTAAATACCCTCAGTAGATAGGGGGACAAGTTTTCACTGTATTTTTTATATAGCTCTCCGGGGAGTCCATTGGGACCTGGTGCTTTGTTACATTTTAATGTACTAATGACAGCTTGAACCTCCTGGGTTGTGAGCTCTGCATTCAATGAATTAAAATCTTCGTCATCTAGTTTGGGTAGATTACATTTATCTGAGAATTTATTCATAGTCCCTGGGTCTAAAATGGATTTAGACGTATTTAGTTCTTTATAAAATTCAGCGAATCGATTATTAATATCTTTGGGTTTTGTGAGCAACGTATTATCACTGGCTTTAACTTTATGTATTGTCCCATCATTTTCCATTTATCGGAGCTGATGTGCCAACAATTTAAGTGGCTTATCCCCAAATTCGGAGCACCGCTGTCGAGTATACAGGAATGCTCTGCTTATCTTTACCGATAAAATTTGGTTATATTCATATTTCAGAAACGTTATTTTCCTGTGTAGTGTAACGGATAGGGATTGAGCATTTTTTTGATCTAGTACTTTGATCTGATCCTCTAGATCCTTCAACTTGGACAAGTTTTCTTTCCTTTTAGATGCTTCAAATGAAATTATACTGCCTCTAATGTAGGCTTTAAATGCCTCCCAGAGAGTAGAGGGGGATGTTTCAGGAGTGTCATTCATCTCAAAGTACAGTGAGATTTGATCTTTTAAGTAATCAAAACGTTTTTTTTTATCCGTGAACAGAAGGGGATTTAACCACCAAGAGGTATAAGGTTTGTCTAATTGATAAAAACATAATGAAAAGGAAAGTGGGCTATGATCTGAGATTACAATGCTTTGATATTGAGCATCCACTACAAAGGGTGCCAATTTAGTATCAACTAGGAAGTAGTCTATCCTACTATAGGAATTATGTATGGGTGAAAAAATGGAACAGTCCCGTCCTGAGGGGTTCATCACCCTCCATATATCCAGGACATTTGTGCTTTTAATATATGTATTTATTAATTTACTTGAGGCATTTCTCTGAGGTTTATTTATGGAGTATCTATCTAGATATGCATCCAAAACGGTATTAAAATCTCCCCCAATTATCAATTTTGTCTGTGACAGATCCGGTATTAGTGCAAACACCTTCTGAAAAAATACCAGGTTATCCGTATTAGGTGCATATATATTTACCAGTGTGAGCGGCACATTCTGGATCTCTCCAATCACTATAACATAACAGCCCTCTTTATCAGTTATTATATTTTTCTGCAGAAAAGGTGTTCCTTTTCTAATTAAGACTGCTACGCCTCTGGCTTTGGAAGAAAAGGTCGAATGGTAAATCTCTCCTATCCACCTTGCCCTGAGCCTGTTATGCGATTTATTATTCAGGTGGGTCTCCTGTAAAAATATGATGTCCGAGGCCAGGGTTTTAAGATGCGACAGACACTTTCCTCTTTTAACTGGATTATTTACTCCACGCACATTCCAGCTGGAAAAGGTGAGGTTTTTCTGCTGTTTGGTACTGTCACTCATGTGTTCTCACTTATTGATAATCAATTTTATAAGGCCTTCTCCTCCCAACCCACGTCTCCCACCCCTTGTCAACCTGAACCACACATTAACAAGAAACAAAATAAACCACTCTGGCCAGTTCAGATAGTGGGTCTGCCGCTGCCGTGTACGTTTCCGTTAAGATTTCAATGCAGTAGTTAAGGTACGGTATGATCAGTGAGTTATATAACAAATAGTGAATTATTATCAAGCAACCATTTTGCTATATGTAACAGTGCAATAGTTTTAGATATTTTAGTTTTGACACTGTTTATATGCAGTTTCCAAGACATTTTTTCATCAATGATGACTCCCAGATACTTGACTTCTTTAACTCTTTTAATATTAATCTCATCTATATTTATAAAAATTTCATCATTTGAATATGTATTACTAAATATCATAAAACATGATTGTGAGTTATTAATTGTCTTGCAGGGTAGAGCAGGCCATACCGGAGTCCGGGTTTATCGCGTAGCAGTTCCCTGGCGCGGTTAAACAGAGCTCTTTGCTTAGCCACGGATGGAGGGTAGTCGGGAAATACTTGAATCTTCTTGCCTTTGAATAAAAGTAGTTTCGTCGCGCTGGCTTTCCGTAGGATGTCCTCACGCGTATGGT